AAGTCGCAGACGGCTTTCCTTCTATAGGTGCTCTTCCCAGTAAAGTGTGAACCTCATTTTCGGTCACTGCATTTTTTTTTCTCCTTTTTGGCGAATGCGCTAATCGCAGTTATCTCGGGTAATACATTTTTGTTCTGGTCGTTCGCTTTGGAAGTGAGGAATGTGCTCGTTTCGGCGTCCATTTATCAGACGCCAAAGCGCCGGCGGTACACTGGGCCACACGGGCATTTTTTTCCCCCTTAACCAGACGTTTGGAAACCCAGCAGCTATACTCGTCCAGTGATGCACCCCTTCCCGAATGGCGCACCGCGCGATTCTTTCACTTTTTAGATCGGTCCAAGTGAGCAGCGGCATCCTCCTGTCGCGAATGGCCGCCTCTCCTCTCGCTCCTATCGGACCATCTCCCTCTCTTCAGGCGCTGGCTCGCACCTCTTCGCCGAGGAGGTTCAAATGGGCGTGTCTGAGGGATATAAATATCAACGGACCGCGATGTCCTGGCCGACGCCGAATCTCATCTTCTGAAATGCGGCCGATCGGCTAGTGTTGCCCGAGCCGTTTCAGACCGTCTAATTGATCCGACATTGGGAGGAAAACTGGTCGCACTGAAGCTCCACACTCTCCGTCTCTCTCCCAAACTTTTTTCGCTTCGTAGTGAGTCAATTCGGACGTCGCCGCGTCGAAGGGTGAAAGCGGTCGTTCTAATGGTCACCCGATGATCGTACGGAAATCACGCGCTGCGGAAAACGGGGAAGAGGGAGAGGGAAGTGGCTTGCTGGTGGTGACGGCACGTTCTTGATAACTTTCCTTTACTTTTGTATAGCGTGAGCTACACTGGCCGAGGTTGAGCAGTTTCGCGTGGCTCCCAAAGAGCCGTACTGCGCATGCGCGAGGAGCAGTGACGTCACACGGCGCACAGCTGGCGCGCCGGAGCCGCCGCCGCCGCGCGCGCCTCGCCGGTCTGCGCATTCCAGAGGAGTGACGTCATAGCCGCGGCAGACGCACTGAAGCCGCCGCGTGCCCAGCTGTGCGCCTCCGTTGCGCAGTAGCCAAGTCTGAAGGCTGGTTCACACAGACCCGTTTTCTTACGTTACGAAAAGTCACCGGGAAATCTGTGCTTCGTATTAAGCGTGGCTACCAATTCAAGGGGATAGCCTGGCAAGCGACATTCCAAACACGAATGTTTCGGTGATGACGAGCTATAGGACGGTGAGTTACCGTGGCAAGCAAGGACACAAGGCTCGTCGTAACGTTACGTAAGGAGTTGAGCTCTGTTCAACTTTTCACACAGCACCGTTTTCTTACGTTACGTCTAAGTCACCGACACATTCGTGTCTCGAATGTCGCGTGCCAGGCTATCTCCTTGAATCGGTAGCCACGCTTAACACGAAACACAGTTTTCCCGGTGACTTTTCGTAACGTAACGTAAGAAAACGGGTCTGTGTGAACGAGCCTTGACGCTGCACCGGAGCCGCTTGATAGCGCCTCTCATTTTGTTTTTTATTTAGGATGGAGGCAACGATATTTTGTGTAGTTGATCCTCCTAGGTAACGTTGATACCCTGCAGAATAATAATATAAAAAAAGTTATTGCCAGGAACACGTGGCGCAAAAGTTCGGATAGCGATGGCCTATGTCTAAATCCATCTCTCTCTCCCTCTTTCGTGTTTGACTCTTTTGCTGTGTTTTCTAGGCGGTCAAAAACCCGCCTAGGAGTGCCCTGCATTTTTTTTTCGTGATCGGCACCATCGATTTTTATACATTGGAAATTGACTCATTAAGATCATTGACAAAATCCGTTACATGTCCCGTTCACTTCCACAACTGATATTGGCGTAAAAGTACAGGGTGTCACAAAAAAAAAATACAGTTTTTTTTTTACTGCAAAAATAAACTTGGCATCGCCGAACGCTTATTCTCCGGCCAAAGATAGCGCTAGAGGTCACAACCAGATGCCGAAGTTTCAGCCCGAACGGACACCTTATTCAAAAGTTATAAGTGATTTTCTGAAAACTTTATTGGGAAAATGGTGCCAATTTTTGGGCCCGTTTTCGGTTGCTGGTGGCCATAGAGCCCCATGTATTCGAAAACTCCGTCGGCCGCAATTTTCTAATGAATTGTTCAGGAAATCACTTATACCTTTGAATAAGATATCGGATCGGGCTGAAATTTTGGCATCTGGTTGTGACCCCTAGCGCTATCTTTGGGCGGATAATGAGCGTTCGCCGATGCCTAGTTTATATTTGCGGTAATAAAAACTCTGTATTTTTATTAATTTTTTTGTGACATTTTGTTATCTTTGTGGAGCCGCTCAAAATTATTTCAAAATTACTACGTGCACGTAGTAATTTTGAAACCGACTGGACACTTTTTTATGGCGAGTTCTTTACTAATTTACTTTACTAATTTACTGTCTATATTCTACGTTACCCAAATTATTTTTGTAGCGTGAGCTACACTGGCTGAGGTTGAGCAGTTTCGCGTGGCTCGCATAATGAGCCGTGCTTCGTGCTGCGCATGCGCGGGGAGCAGTGACGTCACACGGCGCACAGCTGGCGCGCCGGAGCCGCCGCCGCCGCGCGCTCCGCCGCCGCCGCGCCCGCTTCGCCGGTCTGCGCATTCCAGAGTGACGTCATAGCCGCGGCAGACGCACTGGCGCCGCCGCGTTCCCAGCTGTGCGCCTCCGTTGCGCAGTAGCCAAGACTGACGCTGCACCAGAGCCGCTTGAGAGCGCCTCTCATTTTGTGCGCATAAGCTCACGCTACGTATATCCTGGCACAGCCGAGCTAAGCCACCGCAATTTTTTTATAACACTACAAACTATCCCAGCTGTGAAATTCCCAACGAAGTGCAAACAAATCATTCGATTATTCGCAGCATGCACGACCAAAACAGGGAACTTGAGCCTAAAGGCCCGTTCACACTCTTGCAACCGAGTACGACCGAGAGAGACCAGACCGGTTTTTAAGCCTCTTGCGATCTCTTAGGACCAGCTCCGCTGCCTCGCATCCGGTCCTAAGGAGTCGCTCTCAGTCGTACTCGGTCGCAAGAGTGTGAACGGGCCTTAAAGCGCCGTTAACACTCTTGCGACCGAGTAAGATCGAGAGAGACCAGACCGGTTGTTAAGCCTTTTGCGACTTCTTAGGACCGGATGCGCTGCAGCGCGGAGCTGGTCCTAAGAGATCGCAAGAGGCTTAAAAACCGGTCTGGTCTCTCTCGGTCTCGGTCGGACTAGTGTAAACGGGCTTTTAGGTGACTGTTAAGCGCCGTTCACACTCTTGCGACCGAGTACCGTGGCAACCAAGGACCGGATGCGCTGCAGCGCGGAGCTGGTCCTAAGAGATCGCAAGAGGCTTAAAACCCGGTCTGGTCTCTCTCGGTCGTACTCGGTTGCAAGGGTGTGAACGGGCCTTAAATCGCACGAAAGTATGGACGCAAGGGCCAAGCCCACGGGAGCACTTTGCATTGGTTCATTGTCATTGAATGCAATCGGGACCACGGAACACACGTGCGCCGCCTTTCGAGTCATCAAGAATTATTGTAACCTCCAGCGGCGGTAAAACGGAGTAACCGATTGGGGTTTACTTTTTGTTGCCCTTCACCGCCACTAGGAGATTATTTGCAGGGTGTGGTTGACACGTGGATGTGTTCGCGGATACGCCCCACCGGCATCTGGCTGATGGCGAGCTCTCTCCGTACATACAGGACTCTGCGAACGCCTGCAGAGCTTTAAAAAACACTAAACCTAGAAAATAAAATATCTTTTCCACCTGGTTAGGACAGGCAAATAAAATAAAATAAAATGAAATATTCGGCTTAAAAAAAGAATCCCCAATTTTATTGATTCGCGGACGAAACATAAGTTGTACCCCTGTGGGATGATGATGATAGCGTTTGTAGCCAACTAGTATGCGCTCTAAGTTCTCTGGACCCCAGAGCGCACACAAGTTGAATACAAGCGCTATCATCATCATCCCACAGGGGTACAATTTCTGTTTTGCCCGCAAATAGAAACATTCTTATTGTAACATAAATAGTGGCAATTTTTTTTTACGCTTATCTATTTTGAGACATGCTTGTCCTATTTAGGTAGAAAGAAAAATGGATTTCCTAGGTTCAGTCCCTTCTGTGCGAGCCATGTTCTGAGGCATACGGAAGTTTTAAAACAAAAACAGAGTTCGTCAGGTGAAGCCGGTAAAAAGACGAGGGAATGTGCGCGCCATCCAGATGCACGCAGGTCGCAGCCCAAACAAGTGGTTAGCAGCGTGCCGTGGAAAAGAGAGGCGGAGAATGTCGCTAAATTAGCGAAGATTTTATTGAAGACGAACCCCGCCTCTTCTGCGACCGTTGTTCCTTGCAGCTTGTGCTTGTCGTTTTAGATTTTTAGACAATGACTTGTTGACACCCAGGATCAGCATGGCGTCGTTTCCTGTCTGGATTGCAGCAGCGAGTAGCACTTGAAGTTTCCTGATGTGGCGGCACCGAACCACTGCGGAGAAAATGCAAGTATCATAATCGCTCCCGATAAAAACAAAACAAAACAAACAAACAAACTACAAAGAAGGGTTTTACAGTTTGGGCACACTGATTCTTCGCACAATAAATTACCCATAGGGTTGACGTTTTTCCTAATCCCAAATGGTTATTTTGTCTTTATGTTTGTCGCGTCTTTCGAACGACGACATCAGAGCGTTTCTGCCAACTACTCAACGAACAGGTTTGGGAGAGAAAAAAAAGCTGAATGAACCATTTTAGCACATTACGTACGTGACCAACTGAAAATTTATGTTCCGATCTATAGACGGAGGAACATTCAATCACTTAGTTTGATCTGCATAACCAGCGCACTCAGAGGAAAATGCAGCTTGCTGCAAGAACTTCAAGTTTACGAATTTCTACGTTGGTCCACACTAACCATTACCACCGTGCGCTGAGGCGCGACGAGATTTTATAAGAAACAAAACGGCTGGGAATTCACCTTTGGCGACATTGCGCGGCACTGCATCAGTGGTATCCACCCTTGACCTTGATAACGGCGATGCCTCCGCCTCCATGGCCACCTCCGTATCCACCCCCAAAGCCGCCGCCTCCGAATCCGCCACCGCCGAACCCACCACCAAGTCCACCTCCGAAGCCACCACCACCTCCGTAACCGAGTATGTGGCCACCGCTGTGTATCTTGTTCACATGGTGAACCGTCTTGACCAAGTACGAAGGTCCGGCTACCACCTTGGTGGCTCCTCCTCCGAAACCACCGCCAAAGCCACCACCGAAGCCTCCTCCGAAGCCTCCCCCTCCGTATCCTCCTCCGCCATGACTGATGGCTATGCCGGAGACCGGAACAGCACTGAACCCTCCACCATAGCCACCGCCTCCGAAGCCTCCACCGCCGAAGCCGCCGGCCAGGGCGACGCCGACGAGGGCGCTGTAGACGCAAACAGCCGCCTGCCGGGGGGTAGAAAAAAGGAGGAGTCATTCCGCTTGTTGACCAGTCTCACCTAGAACGTCCTGAGTTTAGTAATAGAGAGTCTTAGTAGATCGTACCGATCACTCCGATAACGACACCCGACACTTCCCCAGCGCCCTTGTGCATGTCCTTTAGCAGGTGTCGTTATCGGAACGCAAAAACGACGATCTAAGACTTGATAAATAATCTCTGAAATAATTTTTTTTTTTATCGTTATGCTCAACTGCGTAAGGTCGGGCTGCCTTTCAGGTACGGTGACACAGGTTTATGATGTCGAAAAGTTTGCCACTGCAGTACAGCTGCTCAGCGTAAACCTGGTCTTTAACGTGCAACGCAGTGATCTCGAACGGCACGCCGGTGCGATGCTTACCCGGATCGAAACAGGCAGGGGTGGGGACCTAACCCGGGATCACTTTTCCTGCAACGCGAGATTTCGCTCCACGTGCTCAGAACTGCCCCCCTCCGAGTTCGTGCCTGAATCGGTCGGTCAGGCCAGGCCGGGTGTGTACTTTGTACGCGTTTGATCTTTCAAGTGTCTCGTAACCAACTGTGGGGCTAACGATTTCAACGTGAGCACCCAGAGTCCTGTTCGAGTTATGTGGGACGGCTCACGTAATTGAGGCGCCTGTTTTGGAGTTGGCCTTGTATAAAGTCGGCCACCCCATTCCTCTGCAAAAACAAACCTTAATTTTTTTTTTGTCGGTGCTGCATTTTTTGGAAGTAATGCTCTAACTCATTTTGTGTCCTCTTCGGAGGCAGTTGCCATCACAGAGAGAAACCTCGAGCGCCGAATGAATGTCAACAGGAAGTACTCGATAGGTAATTTCCTTCGGCTTCCCACCAGGAGCGGGGTAATTTTGCGCTTATCGAGCTCATTGAAGCAGCGATAACGAGGAGGCTTTACGACCAATAAGTGGAAGGCAGTAGGAGAAAGGGAGCGGTGCCCGCCGTCCGAAGAAATCAAGGTGATTGAAGTTGAACTTGACATAGCAGTGAGACGCAGCCGTAAAAATAAAAGCACCTTACTTTTTTCTTCCTCAGATTATAGAACGATTGTGTTGTCCCAAGGGTTTCAGCTGCCATTTACCCGTGGTGAAAACGTGCAAGTGTTAGGCAAATAGCGGCGCACAGAAGCTATAGTGGAGCGCTGTGAATATATAGAAATGTTTGTTTAGTTTCTTCAGCCTTCCGGATTGCATATCTATAGGACAAAGATCGGCTCTAATGTCAACTCTGCCAGTGCTTCCCGAGATATCACGAATAAAATTAGTGTAATAAGCGCCAAGTAATCGGAGTTTTGTTATTCGCTCTTACACGAGAATATTATTGTAGTACATTCATCGGTGTGTTTCGGCACCTGGGGACAACTTTCCGTTGGCGTAAAGGCAGAGTTGCAAGGGCGCCCGCACGCTCGGGCACCTCGGCCACCGATCAAAGCTCTGCACACGCGCTCTTCAGCCTTCTGAAATGCCACAGGAAGTTGTCCCAAAGTATCAGCAGTGGAATGGAACGAGTCGCACCGATTGCTTTGCAAATTTGTTCTAAAACTCGGTTTTTGCCACCTCCTTTCTTTACATATTGTTTTTGTTTTCGCCAAAAATATGACAAACGAGCAGAAACTCACAATATGGGAAAGGAGTAAATCCGGAAACCGAGTCATATTTAATTACAAAACATTGCTTATAGTAGCCATGTTCATTATAGTGATTATACTCCAAGCGAGAACACCGCAGCAATGGCAATAGGTTCAGCAGTAGGTCACTTTGGGCTAACAGTTTTCCGATACCCGTTATTCAAATTCCAATGAAAAATGGCGACAGACGCTCGAAATATGTAAAGAACAAGGAAAAGACAACTTTGGCCCGAATGCGAACCGAATCTTGGTCAAGAAACGCTTTGCATTCGGGACGTTACAACAGCGTCCATATGGATCGGGGAGCAGGCGCGGCGGCTTCCTCACCAGAGTGTTCATCCTGCGCAGTTTCCAAGGGGGCGAGTGGTGGGTCCTCTTCCGAACCAGCGCTCTTTTATACGCACACGGCAGCGGCCCGACCGTCGCTTTGTTATGCGTTGCAGTCTGGAAAGCTCTCGCTTTGTCAGCGCTGTTCTTTGTTATTCATTTCGTCCTTTCTAGAATGTCTGAGCTCGGCGTCACTTCCCCTTACTGCCACGGTTTCAGTTTCGACGACGGTCGAATTCTCCTTGCCGGAAGATGGCTTTTCTGTGATTTTGACTGTCAGACAGGTTGGCTCGCTCACTCGCGCGCGCGCCCTGCCCACGGAACGAAGGACCGGGAAACATCGAGAGCGGTTGCGCTCTCTTTCTAACCCGAGTGCTTCAATCGGCATTAACCCTCCCACCGTCCTCCCCGGCAGCAATTTTTAACCCGCCGTGTCCCGCTGTCCCCCCATCCCCAACTTCCTCCCGAGTTATGCTTTCGCTGATGGTAGCCTTCCCCGCCCATTTCTCGCGTGGTTGAAACGGTGTACGGAGACGCCTGAGATCTGCTGCCCTAGTTGGGTTATGTCTGAGCCGTCTCCTCCTCTTTCTCGTTTAATGCCGCATTTTGATTCCCCGAACTCGCGACTGACTCTCGCGAGTCTTGCATGGGCCGTCCGTATTATATATACGTGCCCCGCTTATCTGAAGGGCTGGCACATTCGTTTAATAACCAATGTACGGTTTGACGCGGCGCGTAACTGTCTGTTCGCATTCGGACTCGCTGTGAGCGATTACAGATTTTGCTGTTTGTATTTTCGGCTACCCGTTCGCGTTTTTGAGGCGGCGGCCGCTCAGCGGACGAGACACAGAGTAGCGCGGGGGACGCATAATGAAACCACGTCGTACCGGTTTCGTTCGAACCCACAACGCTCTTGGCGGGCCACTTTCATTTTTTTGCTCTGCTCTTCATAGTCCACTCTCGTTTTCTCTTCGGCAATGCCGGACTTTCGATTTTCGTCGCTCGTAGGCGGTTGGTTAAGCAGGGTCGTTGACATAACGTGATCAGGGAACCCCCGAAGTTTTATGGGCAAGCATGGTTTAGTTCCGTAGTATGGCCGAGGCCGGAGATTCTGGCGTGCTTTTGTCGACTCGGTTGCAGCGCGAAAATGCGGGTGATTTGCGAGACTCTTGTCTTTGGCGTGGCGGTTGAAGATCTTGTCGTTTTTGCTTCTTCCTGCGCGTGAGCCAGAGATAGAATGCGCGAGCGGAATGGCCGCTTCACGATGCATGCGCCTGCTTCGAAGTTCGTCGGGCCGTCCGATGCGAAATAAGGGAAGGTTAGTGTGCGAGCGTGGACTTCCATTGAACAGACACGCGCTTCATGCATGCACGTCATGAAGACATCCTGCAAAAGGCGCTTTGATGCCTCCGGGCGGGGCAGGGAATACCTTTAGGAATACCTAGGCGTTCCTGTTGAGAATCAACTTTTGTTACCGGTGAACGTTTGATTCCCGCGTCCGTTTCCTTTCTGCCAGTGCTCAAGCGTAACTGTACCCACTGACAGAAAGAAAATGGCAGAGCGTCATTTTCGTATGCCGGGCCTCCAACACGCACTCTTTGCCTTCCGCCGTGCTATCCATGGTCACGTGTGCACGCTCAAAGCTTACGAGACGCCGAAGCGCTATCGAAGGTAGGAAGCTCTCGATGCGGAGGAGGGACTATACCGAAAGTCCGTCCCTGTCGTTTTCATCCTCTAAGTGACTATAGTCATGAGTTTCACTTGCTTGCATCGTGATTTTATAATTATCGGGACTTGAACCTCGGCGGTTCATACCCTGATTAGGATCCATAGGTCGCGTTCCCGACCAATTGGCCGGTTGTGGCGGATTATTAAGATGCGGTCTTCGTGGTTTTACTAGCACCTTTATATTAATTTTCCTCGGGTTATCTGTAAAACCAATGACTTAAAAGTTTTACAATTATAATAGACCATTTGCTGTATTACCCAAGCATCAAGGAGAATGCAGGGATTGGTGTTCCACGCGCCACACGCGCACGTCTTCACCGTACAAAAGATTCGAAGTAAATAATCAAAATAAAGCGTTGACGAACGCGCGTGCAAGATGCCATTTGTTTTAGGTATTTGCTTTAGAAAAGTTGCTACTGCTGAGGCCAGCGGGTGCGGCGCGTAGAACACCAATCCTTGCATTCTCCTTAGATGCTTGGGTAATACAGCAAAAGGTCTACTGCTCATTAGTCAAAATGTACGTGATCAGAATCATTATTTGTCGACACCAAGAGTAGTATGCGCTAATTTTCGGATTAGTTCTAAATCACACGAATAAAGTGTTTCTTTTTTTTTTGTTGATTTTGCTTAGGAGCGATTTCGTTATCTCAATTTTATTTCAAAAATGAGGAAAGAAACTGTTCAGAAGGTACCGTCAAGGAGCTCCCGAAAGTAGAGGCTTCTAGTATAGTTGAACTGCCTTAAACACTAACAAAATTACCCGTTTGATTACTGTAAAGAAGAATACAAGGCTGATAAAACTACTCCAAAGCTTTAAGTAATATGATGAATGGACAAGTTTGCTTTATTATGTGTAAGTTATAAGCTATAACGTGCAACATACCAAACGTGCTGAAATAAGGCTACGTTCCCAGGAGCTCTTTCCTGATGTGATACTAATGTCCTGGAAAAGTCCTTCAGGCTCAGTAGACCAAAGAACGTGAAATACGCACCACGTAAACCGGCCAGTGATTCCAGGCTTACCTACATCGTGGGCTGATTGATGGAGTGTCGCGACTTTGGGTTGTTTCGATACTCAGAAAGTCGGTCGCCAGTCGGAAAATTGTCAGATGCCTTCGGCCCCCGCATTTCACCTGTGTCTGGAGATCGGGATGGGAGACGCCGCATTTTGGGACATTCTAGTTGACGTTTGACATGCAAATGTTTCCTTCGTGTTTCGGAGGGCCCATATGCATATACCCGACGCACG